ACCCTAAGATAGACTCAAAATGGCGCAAGACGGCCCAAGAGGGTCCCAAGAGGCCTCCAAGACGGCCCACAAGGCGTCCATGAGGTCTGCCAGGAGGGCACGAAGAGGCCAACGTCATTGATTGTCTTCAACGTGTTTGAAAGATGTTGGCATTTGCTTCTTTTCGGCATTCAGACGGCTCAAGACGGCCCAAGAGGCCCATCAGATCGCCCAAGAGGCCTCCAAGATGGCCCCATGACGGCCCCGAAGGCCCCCAAGACGGCCCCAAGAGGGCCCCACACCGGCCCAAGCGGCCTCCAAGGCGCCCAAGATGGCCTCTAAGAACCCTGATCTGCCCCAAGAGGGCCCGCAGACGACCCAGACCAGGCCCCCAATACGGCTTCCGAGGGCGTCAGACAAGCCAGGAACGCCCTAAGACGGCCAAAGAAGCCCCCAAAAAGCCCCCAAAGGCCTCCAAAGACCTTCCAAGAAGCCCCCAGGAAGCTCCCAGTAGGCCCCAAAAAGTGCCCCAAGAGGCGCCCAAGAGGCCTCCTCCTCCTCCTCCTCCTCCTCCTCCTCCTCCTCCTCTTCCTCCTCTTCCCCTCGCCCCCACGCGGCCCCCAGGGATTGCCCGAAGAGGCCTTCCAAGGCCACCCCCTTGCTCCCAAAGATCGTTCGGTCCATCCTGGTTGCTCGTTTTGCTTCCCTAGATGTGTCCTTTGTCCCTTTTCCCGTCAGCTCTCGTGGGCAGGGTTTCTGAATGGGCTGGTGGGGATACTTTTTGTCGGTCGCGGCCGCGAGACGAAGGTCAGGCGGCGAAAGCAAAGTCCGGGACGCGAACTAGGCGAATTGGCCAGGACAGGCGCAGGACGGCCGGCCCACTCAGAGTGCAGCTGCTGGCTGGGTGAAGCTGAACTGATGGCGCACTGCAAGCTCGGGCACGCGCACTGGGCAAAACGACCAGAATTCAAGCGGCCAAGGCAAAACCCGCACAGAGGACGCGGACCACGGTGGGCAAGCCTTTGTGCATCGTGAAGACGGGCTGGCCATTGGAGTGAGTCGCCAATGTGGCGCCAAGCTCCAAACGGACGACCTGCAAAAGCCAAGCCGGCTAAGCAGTCGTGAGCCGTGGTGCAACCCACAGGGGAGGCTGAAGGTGGGCCTGTAGGACTGTACCTGTTTGCGGAAGGCTGAACCTGGTGGGGATACGCGAAGCGTGAAGAATAATAGTTATACGGGTACGAGTACTTATACTGAGAAATCGCACCAGTACGAGTACTACTAGTACGAATCGTAGTGCTAGCGTATTAACATCAGGGGATGGAAGATGGAGGAGGGGGAACATAGCTCGCAAAAACAAAGGCTTCGAACCTTCCAAAAGATCCCGGAAGGTAATGCAGTCCTCGCATCGGGGAGCTTTCTCTGAAATTTGCTGGCGATTATGAAGACCGGGGGTGCAAACAAATTCGCCCATGGGGAGTGTGAGTACAGGACGGAGTAGAGACAATGTAGTAGTAGTAGTAGTAGTAGTAGTCGTAGTAGTAGTAGTAGTAGTAGTAGTAGTAGTAGTAGTTGTTGGTAGTAGTAGTAGTAGTAGTAGTAGTAGTAGTAGTAGTCGTAGTAGTAGTGGTAGTAGTAGTAGTATTAGTATTAGTAGTAGTAGTAGTAGTAGTAGTAGTAGTAGTAGTCGTAGTAGTAGTAGTAGTAGTAGTAGTAGTAGTAGTAGTAGTAGTAGTAGTAGTAGTAGTAGTAGTAGTAGTAGTAGTAGTAGTAGTAGTAGTAGTAGCAGTAACAGTCGCAGTAGCAGTAGGAGTAGTAGTAGTTGTTGTTGTAGTAGTAGTTGTAGTGGACGCAATAACCGTAGTAGGTGATGTCGTAATCGTAGTCGTACGAGTGGTAGTCGTGGTAGTACTACAAGTAGCAGCACCAGTAGCAGTAATAGTACTAGTACTAGTAGTAGTGGTAGTAGTAGTAGTAGTAGTAGTAGTAGTAGTAGAGTAGGAGTAGTAGTAGTAGTAGTAGTAGTAGTAGTAGTAGTAGTAGTAGTAGTAGTATAGTAGTAGTAGTAGTGGTAGTAGTAGTAGTAGTAGTAGGTAGTAGTAGTAGTAGTCGTAGTAGTAGTAGTACGTAGTAGTAGTAGTAGTAGTAGTAGTAGTAGTAGTAGTAGTAGTAGTAGTAGTAGTAGTAGTAGTAGTAGTAGTAGTAGTAGTAGTAGTAGTAGTAGTAGTAGTAGTAGTAGTAGTAGTAGTAGTAGTAGTAGTAGTAGTAGTAGTAGTAGTTAGTAGTAGTAGTAGTAGTAGTAGTAGTAGTAGTAGTAGTAGTAGTAGTAGTAGTAGTAGTAGTAGTAGTAGTAGTAGTAGTAGTAGTAGTAGTAGTAGTAGTAGTAGTAGTAGTAGTAGTAGTAGTAGTAGTAGTAGTAGTAGTAGTAGTAGTGGTAGTAGGCGTAGTAGTAGCAGCAGCAGTAGTAGTAGTGGTAGTAGTAGTAGTAGTAGTAGTAGTAGTAGTAGTAGTGGTAGTAGTG